AAAACTGCCTCTAAAAGCTCCCTCACAGAAAGTTATTACATTAAATGGTTATAGATACGCTGACTGATACCTAAGACATTGTTTTAGGATAGTTTTTGAGAAAGCTTTGGCCACAGACATATTTTAAAATCATTTTTTGTCAAGGCCGAGAGGCACATGCAGACCATTGTACAGCAAAATAGACCCCAAAAATGACATTTTTTCAGATTTAAGACTACAATCATTAAAATTACACATAAAACCTCAGAAGACACCTGTAGGTTTAGGACAATAAGTCTGTAAGTTTCTCTAGAACAGAGCATTTCACATCAAACCACTCTGAATGACTTTGTTTACATCTCAACCATAGAATTTTAAAGAAATTCTGAAAAATTGGTGTAATTCCCCTATTTTAGGGATACTATTGTCTGAACTGAATTGAGGTTCTTTAAAAGTCTGAGCAGTGTTTCAATGTCTTTGTCTATACAGTGATTTGCCAATGTGACGGTGCACCCAGACAGTTTGACTTGCTGGCCAAGACAGCACTCAACCTACCAGAAAACATCCAAAACAAATATGAAGTTCAAAGACTGGTGAATATGAAAGAGAAATGAATATATATATATTTTTAAAAAGTCTAAATCGCATCAGAAAAATGTTCTCTTAGTTTCGAAAATTGAGCAATTCTATTTCTTTTCTTGCCATTTTTCCCTCCTCAGGAAGGAGAGATGAATGCAGGTTTGTGTTGGTTGTGCAAGAGGACCATTGGTGAGCTTATGGCTCTGGCTAAACATGAGATTAGGAAGGTAAACTTGCTGATTTGTCTGTACGTTTTCAGTACTATATACCATGCAATGAATATTATTAAATGTGATTGAGTTTGGTTATTTTTTTTTACAGGAAATAAACACAATGTGCAAGAAGTTTAAGCATTTCGAACGTAACTGCAAGACTCAAGCGTACAAGTACGAGACCATGGCCATTCACCTGCTGTTCCATGGGAATAACGCCAGAGACAGCTGCAAACAAATACACTTGTGTTAGAAGATTAATTTGCAAATTTATGAATATTGTCTTAACTTCCAAAATGTCTGAGCTTTGTTATTGACCTGCTTTCATTCTTTAATATGTCTATGACTGAAATAAAACTGCTTTTGAATTCTTGGTGCTTTCTATAATCCACAAAGGCGCACTCTGTAATCAGGCCTGGATCGCCAAGTCATCGGCCTCTGGGCACAAATGCTTGGTGGGCCCCGGGCTTGCTACCTTTTTTTTATGGTCTGGGAATTTATGATATCACACCCTGGTACATGAGGCCTATGCAGCACGACGACAGTAACTTCCTGACTTTGGTGTTCAGCATGTCACCACTATAAATGCATATTTTTTTCCCAATCGAGACAAAACAGTAGCGAGATTATGCTCACATTATTAAGAGCACAGGTTAACAAACCCAACAACTAATGCAACATTTCCTTATAAAGCATTCGTCCACTCAAAAAAAAAAAGCTAAACATTTAGCCCAGTGAAGAAAAACAAATCAAAATCAGACAGCTGAAATGTACATAATAAAGACAGAAGAAAGCAGCACCTTAGGCTACAGCATACTCACATATGGGGTGTGGAATCTTTGAATATCTGGACATTCAAATTCAAAGTAACAAATATAAAATCCTGAAAAAACTGCAAAATCTGAAAGTCTGGCCAAAGAAACTGCGGATGTTTGAATGGCTGCTAATCAGTGATGATCAATGAAGTGGACGAACAGTAAAATCTGTATTAGGATTGGCCGTAACACAACGACAAGTTTGAAATGAGTAATACTGGCCAACTGATATATTTGCCACAGCACACTGCTTACTACAGATGCATACTACACAATATAAATGCATACTATATATCAATGCTTACTACATACTACACATGCATACTACATACTACATATTTACTGTGACCACTGATGAAGGACTAGAGGGTGAGCAACCGATGAACTACTGTCTCTGACTGGTTGATGGATCAACAAGGTAGAGTGTCTAATAGAGTGGACAGTGAGTGGACACAGTGTTTAAAAACTCCAGCAGCACTGCTGTGTCTGATCCACTCGTGCCAGCACAACACTCACTAACACACCACGTTAGTATCACTGCAGTGCTGAGAATGATCCACCACCCAAATAGTACCTGCGTTGCGGTGTATATTTCATCAATCCCACACTCTCACTCACTCACTCGCTGAATTTTGCCTCCTCACTTTCACTGACAGGTTATTCTGGTTACAAGATTGCATTAGACTGGCTGGCAGGTTGTAAATCATTTTAAAGGCCATTCTGGCTAATAACTAGCATTTTACATGTCTTGTTATGACTGAGTTCTGCAGTGCAGCAGCCTCATTTACTAAATTCATAATTTTGTGTTCCTCCATCAATGTTCTCTCACTACATTACCCAGCATGCATTACGCCCTGGTTCATGTCCTCTAAAGATTAGATTTTTTTGTATGTTTACTTAAACTGGGCAGAATTTAGGTTGGATTTGGCGGGAGAAAAAGTGCTTTGGCAGGTGGACGAAACTTGGGCTGGTTGTCAATATTATTGGTTGGTTTTTAAAACGTATATTCAACTGATAAACTGCATTACTTGATAACACAGCTGAAATTAGCCTAGACCTAACTCCTGCCAACATCCAATCAGTTATCAAAACTGACATACAATTTAGTCACTCCTTTTGAGCCACCCAATGTCAGTCACAATCCATATTGAGAATGCAGGATTGATGGAATATACACCTGTTAGCTTTTTCAACTCCTTGACACCACTGGTGGTTCCAAAACGCACTTCGTCATATTCTTCGTAACTCTCATATTTCATAGGCTAAATTCAAAAGGTGGGGGTCGTATGAGAGCTGTAACTGTCTTCTTTCCAGTCAAATAGATGGGTGATGTAATTTTAAACCCTTATAATAGAAGAAGCTGAACTCACAATATTTTTTTTTCAGAAAGTCGACCCATTTTCCCACAAATCTGGGCTATAAACTGTAAACAGATGGCATCTCTTCAGTGATCTGCTGGGTAAAAATTATTTTTATAAAATAAAACAAAGAGTGTGTAAGATTTTTGGCTTTCAGCAGTAAATTGTGAGCATATAGCAATATGTGTATCATAAACCACATGTTCTGTTTGAGGGGAGCTTCTAAAATAAATAAATAAATAAATAAAATAAAAATTTACAGTTATTTCATGCAGTTACTGAATAATTTGCCTTACGATTTGGTCATGTAAATTCAGATGGAAAAAACAAAATATACCCTGGTCAATAAGAGGTTAGGAGTGGTTAACGTGGCCTACCCAGTTTATTACTGATGTGATGGATGTGCGTTTGGTCTAACACTATACAGATTACCCAGTTCACTCTGCATTACTGACTGTACAGTTCTGCTATAGTAGAAAGCTGGAAATTGGGCCTGTGGTCTGTTCATCAGTGCCTAAAAAGGTCAATGTTAAAAATGTGCACAAGGAACGGTTATACTTGCAATATTAGTGCTATTCATTTGCTTTTCTGACTGCGTGGAACAGCAGGTCTTAACGCGTTTCTTAGATGTTTCACAGAGATACTGAAAATTACGTGGCGAGACATCAGCGCTTAACATACTGTAAAGCTTAATATTGGCGTCATGATGGTTAAATGCTTTCGTATATTGGTTAAAATTACCTAAGGCTGTTTCGGATGTGTACAGAGCCGCGCTGGTGACATCCTGTATAAATAAAAATAATGCGTAGCCACGACTTAGTAAAGCGTGGGAATGAGATCCTAATGCGTGGCCACGACTTAGTAAGCCGTGATCTCGTTCCCACGCTTTACTAAGTCGTGGCCACGACTTAATCATCTCATTCCCACGCTTTACTAAGGCGTGGCCACGCATTATTTTTATTTATACAGGATGTCACCAGCGGGGCTCCTTAGATGTGTTCTTTTTTGGCGGCTTATGAATAATTTTTGGAAGCAATCTGGCAACCCCATCGGATTGCGCGCGCATGTCGCCGCTCCCGCTCCAGTAGTTACAGCTCTCACACGGAAATTATATTATAATCTATATAATCCCACATTCATTAGCCTGATTCTTATATTTAGCAAATACCCTGCTGCATATATGCCTTCAGTAGAACCTACTGCGTCCTAAATGTAACCATTATTCACGTTGTGAACGTTGTTTTCCTCCGCAGTGCCGACGGTCTGAGTGGCGTTCAGGGTAACACCCAACGTAACTAGCTCAGCTACCGAACTTAGCCAGTTAGCACCAAAATCAAATCAGGCTTGTCCTGAAGTCCCACCGCGTAAAAGTCCATATATTCTAACTTAGCTTCTCTGCATCAAACTGAGGTGAGATAAAACTGCTTAGAAAAGTGAACTCAGCTTATATCGTGTTTGGTAGCAATGAAATAACTTAACACCATACAGTAAACAGCTAACGCTAGCTTAGTACTTAGCGCGGAAGCTAACGTTAGCTTAACGAGCTTCTTTTCTGACCAGCTGTGAGTTTTTTGTCACCTATTTTTTCCCTTTACCTGCCAAGAGTTGAATTTTGGTAAGCTAAGCTAGCTATGTTAATTTACGAGGCTTCCTCTTCCATTTTTCCCGTTCCACCTTAAATGGTACACCAGTTACATTATGGTGAATACCATACTGAAGTCAGCTGCTGCCGCATTTAAGGTGGAACGGGAAAAGCCGGTCAAGAAGCTGGCAAATAAACAGCTGACTTCAGCTTCGTGCTCCAAGTCTGCGGCAAATCAAAGAAATATTACTGACATTGATATTTTATGTACAGCTTCAATAAAAAAAAACATTTTTACGTCATTTTTTTCAACCAAAGACGCCATTTGCTGTCGCTAATTTATTACTCACATGTTAAAATCTGGCATCTGACTCACCCAAGTTTGAAATTTTATCCACAGACTAAAATGAACATAATTTTTTTTACCATTTCACTTGTTTAGACTACGGAAACACTTCCCGGAGGGCTGGGCTAAATGATGATGAGACACAGCTGGGCTAAGACGCCTCCCTCCATCACGCTGAGGATCAGGCCCTCGGCGGCTCTCAACCTGCAGCTCCGGAGAGGTCTCCGCATGAAGAGGCCGAAGCTCCAGGAGGCCCGTGGCCCACCGGGCAAAATCCAGCACCAGCACGGCCGAAAACGCGACGAAATGCCGCGGCCATGTGAACAACCGTGGGGCCCAACTCTGGTCATACAGCGCCAAGAGATGGCTGCCTTTTTCAGACTGTTTGGTGAGTGGAAATTGACCTGACTCAGTCACACCTGTACCTGCACAGTCGTGGTTATACCAGCTCAGTCTTTTTATGTACATACTTTTTTTTTCTGTGCCGTTTTTGTTTTATTTTCTCAGATGATGACCTCATACAGGATTTTCTGTGGATGGACTGCTGTTGCAAACTTACTGACAAGGTATGCAACTTGCAGGCCTAGTAGCATCTTGCCAACTTATTATTATTATTATTATTATTATTATTATTATTATTATTTTAATTATCTTGCTTTATCTTGATCTCATTCATATTGTTTTTTTCCCCCTGGTGTTGTAGTATTTGCTTGCCATGACCTTTGTCTACTTCAAGAGAGCACGCTTCAGCATCAGTGAACACAGCAGGATGAACTTCTTCATCGCTTTGTAAGTTCAGACATTTCTCTCATTTCATTTTATTCAAAGAAGGCTTCTAAATGCCAGTGTGCCTAAGTCAACAGCAGTTATCTCTGCCCTGCCTGTCATTCACTGTGTGTTTCAGATACCTGGCAAACACCATGGAGGAGGATGAGGAGGAGACAAAGTATGAGATCTTTCCTTGGGCGCTGGGAAAGAGTTGGAGGAAGCTCTTCCCACGCTTCCTGAAGCAGAGAGACAAGCTGTGGGCTCGAATTGAGTACCGTGCTGCTGTCAGCCGTCGCTGCTGTGAGGAGGTACTTCTGCCTGAGAACATCTGTGCTTTGTATTGATGGTGACATGAAACTAATAAGCACCAAGTTCCATTTTCTGGCTGTTCTGGACATCACTTGTTCTTTTTGTTATACTAAATCAGTTGTCTGTGTGACAAATCAGGTGATGGCCATCGTTCCATCTCACTTCATCTGGCAGCGTGAGCGTGCGGAGCACCACAGCGGAGCCCAGCGGCTGTCCCGGGACCGGGAGGAGGTGCACATGCCTCGTGGCCCAGCCGCCTCCCCTGAACCCTGCTCTCTCTGTGCCAGAACCTCTGGCCTTTCCTCCCCATCCTCCTCCCCTTTGCCCCTTGCGCCAAAACTCAGCTTGGAGGCCACACCACCCTCCAAGCAACAGGCTTTCCACCAACCGAGCAAGAAGGCTGCCTGCAGCTGTAAGGACAATCCAGCAGGTGGGTGAGTGTGTGGCGCACTCTAGTGGCAAGTTAGTACACAGTACCAGCATATGCAAAAGTTTGAATACCCTGGTCAAATTGCATGTTTTTGTTGAAAATAAGTTAACACATTCTTTATAAGAAACAAATATGTTTTTCAGCAATTTTAGTGCACAGTTTCTATTTATTAGCCGAGTTTAACATTAGAAAAAATCTAAAATGTGCCATACATTTTGCACAGACAATATTTTATGTTGTTTATATCCAATATGTTAACTTTAGCAAATAAACAGTAATTATGCATTAAATGGGCATTAAAATTGTGGAGAGGATATGCATTTATTTTTAATTTGACATGTAATCTTTTTATATATTTATTTTTTTTACAAATAACTCTATGTAGTATTTCCTAAACTAGTAGTTAATTATGGCAGTGGGCCTTGTGGGTATTTCACAAAGCAGGATTCCTCAGAAAATATGCAGAAAAAAATCATCATCCAGTAGGATTTCCCATACCTTTTCTAGCATTGTACAGGTTTGACAGGCTAACTGAGACATCCTGCTTTGTGAAACACCCCACTGCAGATTTTAGTGTTTTTGCTTTTTAGCACACCCAATTTAACTTGTTAATTAGCATATTAGTTAAATAATTAAACTAAATTAAGCTTGGCAGGGTACTCCAAAACCAAAGTTTTGGTACTTTTTCAGTATTTTGGGGTCTTCCTTCTTCTCGTTTTGTATTCACAAATAGGGAGTGATGTGGACAGTGAAGCTGGCCATGACTATTCCATGGACTGGATCAACGAGGAGTAGATTCCAACCACAAACAACCAGTTGAGCGTTTATCTGTTAACTATACAACACTGTCTGACTGGCAGCATCATCTACACCTGCGTCTAAATGGCAAGGATTGGGTCAGTCACTGAATTTAAGAATTAAGGGTGGGCATTAACAGACTAACAGAACTGAAATAGGCTTTACATGGAGACAAGCTGGATGTAGCAAGGACTGTTGTCAAGTACATTTGACACCCATCTATATTAATGATGTAATTTCACATCCTGTATAAAAAAGTTCCATGTTTTAGGGCTTAATCATCAGAGCCTTATAAACAAAAGTTTTTTTTTCCCTTCTGTCCGATTCCAGAAAATATTTCTGTGCATATGCTTTATTTATTTATTCAAGTGCACAATATATCCTGTATCACTATAGCATTTATTTATTTATGAAGTATATTTAGTACTTCTCTATTTAACACTAGAATGTTCACATTTTGCAATTATTTAGTAAAACTGTCTTGGACATTGGAAATGTTTAACAGATTTCCTTCACATACATGAAATTGCTTAAAAGGCGGTGATCGCGTTTGTCAAATAAACATGCAGCGCATACAAATATTAAATTCTGTAATCTGTTTTTGTCACAGATTTTCTGATTGAATTCAGGTGATACTTCTGTAGCTTTTCTTCATATACTGTTTGAAAGTCAAATGAATGTGCTGGTTATATAGCTTTTATTAAAAAAGAACAAAAAAAAAAAAACATTTCTACACACAGGTATTTATTTGGCCTTGGCTTGGGTCTTCATGACGGGTGCCGCGGTTGTAGATGAGCTATTTCAGGATCTTCCGTAATTTCACAAGGAAGGCTGGAAGTAAGGTGAAAATAGGTGTTTAACAACCTTCTATTAGCCACACTGAAAAGAAAAAACTATAGAAAAGAAGAAACAAAATGCGCAAGATCTGTTTGCTTAAACAATGGTTTTGTCAAAAAAACATTTAAAACACTTTTCCCCCATTTAAACATTTAGCTACCAATTAGCATCATGCTAAGTAACCTCACACTGACTTAAAGTTTCAAAGCCTGGGTTTCGCACACAACCTGACATCACACAGGCTAAAAGTATCAGGCATGTTAATGCATTCGGTGCAAACTGACAGCTCAGCTAAAAGCAAAATACATTCAGTTTCACTCCTGGACATTACATATTTGTATCAGTGCATAGACTAGAACCAAGTTTCTACTAAGTTTATCCTGTTTATTCATTCATATTCAACTGCTGGTGTGGATTAGTCCTAAAAAGTGAAACGCTGTTGGGTCTGAGGCCAAAAAAAGGGTTGTAATGCCAAAAAAGTCGAACAATAAGATATATGATTGCCGGTTGTGGGGACACAGAGAATGTGGATGGTTCAAAATCTGTGTTACCAAAGAATCCAAACGTTTGATATTTGTCTCGCTCACTTCTACCATCACTACATCTCACTGTTCTCCCAACCTTAGACATTAGTGTGGACTATATTGCTTTTCAAGTTGGTACAGACTCTACCAGAAACCCTCAGGGTCTTCTAAGTCTTTACAGAAGGCCTGATGTTTTCTGGGAATTTAAAAATACATGCCGATAATAAACAAAATCATGCTTGTATTTAAACTCAAATACAGTACTACTTTTGTTTCACTGTTAAGTTTTAGATGGAAACAAAAGGGTTAAGTTTGTGAAACACCAAGTGGAAAATTGTCCGATCAGGAATTGTTTTTTTTCTGTGGTATCTATAGATATAGCAAAATGAACTCTCTTATTGGTTAGGACTTTAAGATCTGAAGAGATGACCTAACATATTAGATAACTATCAGCATAATTACGAAAGTAACAGCAGAATCAACCAATCACAGTTTGATTTCCAGAAGGCGGAACTAATTTCATGGAAAAAAGGGCACTGTAAGCCATCTTAAGCCCATTTCACACCAGATGCAGTGTGTGTGGTAATCCGAACCACTCAAAGACATTTGTTGTGTATCCCAACTTGCTGCCGTGACTGTTCCTACCTTTCTCACCATGTGATGTCCAGCTATATGAAGAGGGAGATATGCATGTGGGTTCAAAACATTTACCTACATATCAAAACTACATAAATTGTTTATTATTCTTGATTGTATATTATAGCATTAACACTGCATTTCTTTATTGTTCCTGCCTAGAACCTGCCAGCATGCTGTGCGCACCACACACTGATTATTACAGGGTCTGGTGTGAAATGGGCTTTAGATACATGACTGACAGTGATTAGGCTGCTGCTCATACTCACTGAGTTCTTAGAAACAGAAAAAACAGCAGCAGCAAGTCGATATCAGCCTCTCCACTGAGTCACCGTAAAACTGCTACAAGGCAAAATATGCGCTAATATTTCAGTCACACGCTTCTAATAAAACATGTCTTTTAGAAAATGTCTGTTTTATCTAGATTTGCCAAAAATGTTCATGTGAATCACTGTTAGCTTAGTGCTAACAAACTAATAGTCAAGTCAAGTGGTCTTTGTATTCCACATTATAAAGCAGATAGTTCCAGTCCTAAAATCTGATTGGCTGAGTCTTGTTCAAAGCTGTTGGAAAATCCTCGATATATGCACTCCTATGACCGCCTCACAACAACTGAACAGTGTGAAACAAAGACTCCCCTAGAATCCCATAGGGATGCTAGCAGAATTATGGTAATTATCGAAATTATCGATTCAGTTCGCCACTGAGCTGAACACACTAAATATGCAGAAAAAGCCCTAAAGATCTTGATTAGCTGGTGTAGGTGATTTGGTACAGCAACAGAAGAAATACATGGACTTGCTTGTGGACGTTTCAACGCACCCGTGTGTCCAAGCTGTTCAGGATGAGGCCTAGCAATGTATGGGACACTCCCAAATGGGGCCTGCTTTGGACTGGTGAGCTCCTCTAAAATATGCACAAACAGAGACATTGGTTACGTACAGGTTATTATCATATGTTTATATACTAAAGTTGACCCTGCATTTTACCTCTTATTAGTTTTGGTGGGTGTTATGCCAGTTAGAATTATCTACATGACACTGAGTGTGTTTAGATGCACTCAATAATCCGATCATAATTGGATTTCAGCAGGTATCTGATTATTCAAAGGGTCACGTAAACAGCATGCTCTGATTTCTTAGATCAGAATAAGGTCTAGAAATCCAATAAAGAGGCTGGATTTCAGCTCAGTAATCAGATTTCTCAGCTCATGTAAACTCTAACTCTGATTTCTTTCGGATTTCTCAGTCTGCGCATGTGCGAAAACAGACCCCGGTACTGGAAATAAGCAAGCAGCGTTGCTGTGAGACGCAGCAGAACACTTTTTTTTTTCTGTTATTGAGTGCACGTAAACGCACTCACTGATTGGTCCTACATTAACATTTGCTCATTCATTAACCACTAACATTTGTGCATTATGCATTTCCTTCAGTTTTGATTTCTATGTTCATACTGACACAAACAGCTAGAAATGAAAATCATCACTGGGCTGCAACAAACAACTGGAGCAACTACAGTAACACAGTTTTGGCCTAAGCTAATTCATTAATTAATGTGACTAATGGAGTGAAAACAATAGATGTTTTACCCTTTTCTTCATCAGTCGAGATATCTTCCTCACTGTCAACAGTTTCTTCACTCATAGGCCTACGCCGGTTGAAGGTGCCATCTTTTTTGAGTGACGGTGCCAGCAGCCAATCCCTGTACTGCACCTCGATGATGCGTTCACACACCAGAGGAAGAGAGGAACATCGCAGTCCCTCCAACATGTCAATAATCTGTGTAACGCTGCCAGGTGCAACAGGGAAAACCATTTGAGGTGAACAAAACTGTTTAAATGACTACCTGAATTCCTCTATTTGGAAACTGTTCCAAGGCCTGTGTCTTAAACATGGCATAAAACAAAGCATGTATCACTTTAAAAAATAAGTATCCCCTGGTAAAAAAAAAAAAAAAATCAAACTTGCACTTACCCTAGATGTAGTTGGTCAGCCGAGACGTTGTTTAGTTTGCCGCTGGAGCTATGAGGCTAACAAATACTATAAGTCAATAGTCAACCAAATATTTTCTATAAATACATCCCAAAAATGTCTCTCAAATCGCACATTAAGGTCTTCATTAGTCACGAAGACTTGTCGATGTAGTTTAAGACACGTGACTTACTGTGAACTACAGAAATGAACAGGGGTGGATAAAGCCCAATGTAATATGTCTTTACTTGAATATAATACTGCTCTAGTACTACTCTTGGTAAAATACTGCTTGACTAGAAGTACAAAAGTATTTGGCTGTAAATTTACTTGGACGTCAAAAATATACAGGACAAGTTCTACTAAGGAGGCCTGTGTGGCTAACCTGTACAAATATTATGGCACATATATTAGATTTATTTCCAATATGTTAAACTCAGTAAATAAATAAAAATAATAAAAAATTTGCAGAGAAATCACATTTTTAATGGATGTGAGGATGTGCTCACTTAAAGCAAAACATGACATTTTTCCAGGGGGTGTGCAGACTTTTGCAACAGACTGTATATGTTGAGTTTATCTGCCTGGAGTGCACGAAAGATCCTCTTATCTTTTGTTTCATTGTTTATTCTCTCACCTGTTAGTGCTCGGCAGACAAACACTGCTCATGTAATTGTACACGGATAATGAAAACACATTGTCAAAAGTGGTCGAGATCTGTCTCTGACCACTTCCAAATGTGGTTTGAGGAATCTGATTGTAATCCGATCCCCAAAAACGCATGTTAATGGAGTCCTGTGTCACCTTAATGAAGATCTGGGTGTGGTTTCAGCTTATTAGGAAACGTTTTGGTGATGTATTTATGGAAAATTATGGGTGACTATTGATTTAATAGTATTTGTTAGCCTTATAGTTCCAGCACTAAACTAAAGAAGCAAAATTTGGAAACCAAACATGTCTTGGCTGATCAACTACATTTAGGGTAAGAGGAAAATTGTGAGAATTTGATTCTTTGCCAAACCATTCCTTTGAAAAGATCTTAATACTACAGCATTTTTGGGCAATTTGGCCCTGGTTAGTGTTAATTCTGCTCTGATCAGTGTTTTTCTAATGTAGGGTCACTTCACAGTCATACAGATTTTGTGTGAAATTACTGCTTGGATAGTTTCATCTGAGAACTTGCAAACGTTTTGGTGCCTATGGTCAAATAACGTTTTTTTTTTTAATTTTCTAAGTCAACACAAGTTAACACAATTTGACCAGGCATGTTCAAACTTTTGCATTCGACTGTATTTGAATTGGCTGATAATCTAGGTTGCAATGTCTTTTATTAATGATTTAAGACAGAATATTCTCAGGAAAACTAACTGATGATTTTGGTATCCGTAGGCTGCACACTACTTACTTAGCCAGGTAGACAGCACAAATGGCTCCGTTATGAAGATGAGGAACTACTGATGGCAGTGCTAAATGAGGACTGACCATATCCAGAGCAACCTGGAACACATGCATGAACATATACAACTAAGCCACAGTTCAGATTCAAGCAAAGCTTCGTCAAAAAAAAACTACACAGATTACGATTTGGACAGATTCATGAGTCGACATTTGTGATTGAAGTAATGCATTGTTTAAATTCTTATTCAGTTGACACTAACTTCAAATCTTATTTGTATATTTTAATAGTTACAGCACTCTACATGGATACAACTGTGATTTAACAAATAGGAATATTGTTCCACAGTGGCATTAACAACAGGCTTTTGTGACTTTCTAACTGATATTTCAGTTACCATCCAAACTCTTAGGGTTTGGCTTCTTACCGAATTGAAGCTTCGCCCAGCAAGCAAAGGAGCAGAGTTTATCAGGTCACCATGGTGAAACTGAACATTATCAGGCCAGTCTTCTCCTCTGCGGAGTTTCCAGGTGGAACACCAGCGCTGATAGTTTAAAACGGAGCGTTTGTGATGGTCCTCTCTCACCTCAACACTCAACACACTGCCTTTAGACCCCACTGAAGGAGAACAAACAGATTTTATACAGCTTTTTAATAGACAAAAGCTTTGATACAGGTTAAAGTTATTTCTCAAATCTCATTTACAGTTGCCCCCTTACCCCAACTCTAGTCAATCAGCCAGGATATGTTTAGTGTCTGAGCTTTGCTTCTTTAGTTTTTTACTGGAGCTACTAGGCTTATGAGGCTAACAAGGAATGGAAGCTTATGAGCTTGAATACCTACACATTTCAGGCTTCCAGGTGGCTGCTAGTGTTGTACTTTTGCCTATTTTTATAAATAAGTGTGTCATACAGTGTCAGAAACCACGTAAGCAGGTCTATTAGAGATTACTCTACATGTTTATAGGCAAATGTGTGATTTGGTGCACAGTGCCAACTGGGTATAGGCGTCCATTACTTGTTAGCTACATTAGCCTCGTAGCTCCAGTGCAAAACTAAAGAAGCGAAATTCAGACACCAAACATGTCTTGGCTGATCGAGTACATTTAGGCCAAGGGGGCCCATCAGTTTAAAGCCACAGTCCAGAGTCCTGCCAGGCAAGTTACAATGACTACTATGAACAGATCTGAACCGCCACCTACTTACATGTACATCCACTACAAATGCAGTGTGTAAGTAGTGTAGATGACTTGAGTTGAACTGTGTAGTCGATACCTTTTCATGTTCTTTGCTAGTAAAGACATGCTAAAATCAGCCCCCAGTCCCAGGGCAGCTACTGTACTTTTTCCTAATTCCTCATTAGAATTTTAACCTGTGTCCAGAGTAAATAGGGGCCAAAAGGTCTGCACACCTGCTCTGGAGAGGAAGAGGCTCATAGCTCCTGATCCTGAGCCTGACTCCAGCACACTGTCTCCCTCGCTCACGTCCATCATCATCAGCATGGCACTGGCGTCCTGCACAAAGACTGAAAATTCACTCCACACAATGCAAATGTGGCACTGAATGAAAGTTACACATCTCATTTCTAAGCTCTTTCAATCTAGTTTGTGATTAAGTGACCCTTATTAGTCCCACAACGGGGAAGTTTCACCTCCACATTCTAACCCATCTGTGCAACACCACATATACACTAGTGAATACACACACACTAGGGGGCAGTGAGCACACTTGCCCGGAGCGGTGGGCAGCCCTATCCGCAGCGCCTGGGGAGCAGTTGGGGGTTAGGTGTCTTGCTCAAAGGCACTTCAGGATGTACTGTCGGATCAGGGGATCGAACTGGTGACCTTCCGGTCACAGGGCTGGTTCCCTAATCTCCAGCCCATTAAATTGATAACTCTGCCAAAAAATCTAATTTACATATTTTCCTCTCACTGTATCCTGCTGAGAAGAAACAGCACAGGCCAGGAAGCATTTCATGCTGGTCTAGATAGTCACTCCAGCATGGTCATGCTGGTTGGCCAGCATACCACCATCCAAAACACAACATACACTGGGTTTTGCTGGTCTATGCTGTTTTTTCTAGCAGGGAAAGATGTTGGTGCCCTGAATCTATCTTCTTAAGTTTTGCACTGGAGCTAAGGCTAATGTAGCTAACACATCACAGAAGCTTATAACCACCATTTTGAGGCAACTGTGTTATAATTTAGGCATGCAGTTTGCACAATGCTAACTGGTAGCATATAGATTTCTATAGCTATTTAGTTACATTAGCCTCATAGCTCCAGTCAAAAACTAAAGCCACACACTTCAGAAACCAAACATGAGTTTGCGGGGCAAATTTGTATGCATTACATATTATGTATCATAGAAAACAGAGCATAAAAAGAATGGTCCTCTCTCTTCCCTCCTCACTTAGCATGATGCTAACCAACAGAGGCATCTGTTAGCTGACACAACGGAATTTAGTGTTCTCCTCCGAGCATACTGAGCTGTCTAATGATGTTATGCTAGCAGACGTTTGAAAAGAGCGATGGTGCTTCATGCGTCTTAGACGAAACATGTACTAGCCTTCACCATCCTAGCTTGATAGCAGTATTGGAGACATAGAGCTAGCAGGAGGAAACTGGTCATGACTCAATTTGGGGGGAAAACTGGGTAAAAATCCTTGTAAAGAAATTATTACTTTTACAATTACAATGACTTTTTTCACATCCATAAATGAAAGAATTAGTGGATGTGCAAAATAGACAGTGGACCAAACAGATAGCAGGCAGCATGTAGCATGGTTGTAGCTATATGGATGTGGAAGAGGGTTGCCACCCATTCAGATTTCACCCGGACAGTTCGGTTTTCAGCTGGAATTTTGATTTTAAAGAGCCCGTATCATGGAAAACCTAATATTCCTCATTTTTATTAAATATAACAATTTAATGCTGTAAATATTGTTCAGTTTTCTAAACGTACGGTTCACTCTCCAGTCTTCAATTATGGAATGTGAGTTGCCTATTTATTTTTTTTTGTGATGTCAGCGAAATTTACATATATCTGCCCCTTCAGTCTACAGCAGTTTTGTCCCACCTATTCACACTGAAGTTATAAGCAGTGTTTCGGGCTGAACTGCTTTCTGAACCAGACACAATACAGAGCAGCCAATCAAAACAAAGGTCGTTTACATAGATCAGTCCCAAACATGCAATAATAAGCTTCCCGTTTGATTCTAAGGAAGAAAAGTTAGAAAACTAATTATGATTGGTGCTTAAACATAAAGCCACACTAACGTTATAAATGTACCAAAAGGAAAAGAAATAAATACATGAAACATGTAGAATATGTGACCGGAGGGGCATAAGGATGTCCAGTTTTGACTTGTTGTGGCATCTGTGACTGTATGTGTGTAGTTGTAGTTATATGTGTCTCAGTATTCTTACTTTAGGATAAGCAATGGCAGGCCCTCTCCTCATAAACAGAGTGAACTCCTCCAGACTGGGCCTGCGGAGGAGCATGGGGAGTCCCAGGCTGGTGCGTAGGACAGTTCCAGCAGGGCGTCCCGCGATATCCCGATGAGGTATAACACCCCAGTTACTCTGCAGCTTCATTCCTTCCTGCAGCTGGAACATCTTGCGGAACTCCAGCCTTCGATTACGGCGGTACTCCGCCAGCAGAGCCTCCCCAAAACACATCATCCGCTCCATCGCTCCTGTCCTCCTGCTCTCCTCCTCGGTCTCCTCGCCTTGAATAAGAGCATCTTGCATCTGAGCAGCCACATCTCCACTGTCATCCTTGGGACTCTGAACATCTGCGTGATACTCACCTGTAGTTTAGGGGGAAGTCCACTGATTTTTTTACATTTCTGCATAAGTAATTCAGTATGTCAATGTCAATGTCAAAGTCAGTCAGAGTGGTTGGATGTGTTGTAGAGAAACAGACTTCAAACTACCAGTTTTGTGAATTCAATGATGGTAAAATAGTGGTTAATCTATTCTTTAAAAAATATTGGGGGCTGGGGGGGGTAGTTACATCCTGCGTGTACAGACAGCGTATTCGTAACCATTTCATGTAATAACTTTCTGCTAGGGAGCTTTTAGAGGCTTTAAACTCTTTAGACGTCTGGTTCCTATCACCATCACTGTGAACAATTCTGTCTTAGTAAGTCTCTCTAGAACAGAGTGTTTGACACCATCAACTCTGAATGACTTTGTTTACATCTTAACAATTTAATTATGCAGAAATTTTAATAAGTGGAGTTCACCTTTAATAAAATAAGACGTCATAATGAGCTGACATTCAAACAGTTACTTTTTACTATGCAGTTACTTTTGTTGTTCACAGGCTCTCCATAATTTTTCTAAATCTGTCTTTTTTATGAACCATGTGGCTGTTCAGTGTTCTAGACATGCTCAAGATACCCATGATGTATTCAGAAAAGTGTATTGTGATGTAATTTATCATAATAACATATCGCCATCTTGCCCACCCCTACCTTTAGTTGGCCCTTTTTGACTCTGTTCCTCCGTTTCGGCCTCCTCCAGAGATTTACTCTCTCTCAGTTCCCATACCTCCTTACTCAGAGAGTCCTGAGGCAGCAGTTGACTGACCCGCTCTAAAGGCGACAAGGGTCGCCGTCTCCCAAACACAGAAGATCCTCTCGAGAAGCGTGAAAGTGTTGGCCCAGGTGCCGCCGGTGCTTCCGACTCACCATCATCTCCATCTGAACTTTTAGGACCTGTTCCAAAGCCCTTCAGGCCACACGTCCACACCGTTGGTGTTATTCTGTTATCAACACGCTTGATGTTCTGTCTCTGTTGCCTTAAATAGGAGGTGCAAACTCTGGCCAGTCTTTGTGTCATTGTGAACACAAGCCAAGTGACATCAGCTGAAATCAGTTAAGCATCTTTGACCCCTGCAAAGAAATGAGGGTAGTATTAAGGCATTGGTATTAAACAGTGACATATCTGACTCAATGTATAGACTCATTCTTTACTTAACTGTAGATGGTGTTAAAGGGGAATTTCACCAATCTCTCAAAATTTCAGCATAATTAAATGGTTACGATGTAAAGAAAGTCATTCAGAGTGGTTTGATGTGAAATGCTCCATTCTGGAGAAACTTAGTGTCAGAACTTTTCACAGTGGTGGTGATAGGAACCAGACGTCTTAGGGGTTTAATGCCTCAAAAAACTCTCACAGAAAGTTACTAAATTAAATATTTATGAGAATACTGCCTGATGTCTGAGACATCATTTTATGATAGTTTTGAGACAGGTTTTTGTTAAGATTGTATATATGTATAAATGTGTATATATGGTAAGAGACATCATGACCCCTGGTTCCTATCACCACCACTGTAAAGAAATCTCTCAGTAAGATTCTCTAAAATCAACAATTTCACATCAAACCTCTTTGAATTACTTTGTTCACATCTCAACAATTCAATTGAATAGTGACTCCATTATTAGTTAAAAGCAGTTGCAAAGGTCCCAAGTATTAAATTTTGTATAAAACTGCGGCGAACTAGATAACATGCTAAAGCTCTGAAATAAAACATGAGAAACAGTAAAGCAGTCTAGGATCCAAACCAGCAAAACACAATGAAATTAAACCACAAAGAACTACTAACTGAACATGAAGGACTAAAAAGGAACTGAGGAAAAATTACATTAATTTCCTCGCTAATATACTGCAGTATTAGTATCATTTGCAAGTGCATGTAATTGTGCGGGGCTGACTAACATGCCCCCAGTTTCTACCCACCTCTGAGATTAATGACATTAATTATCAAGCAGCTCATATCAAATCGAACATAAACGAAGTCCAGTGTTCCGCTGAGCGATTAGAGGACAACGTACGGATGGAGACATTAATGTTTATGCATTAAATGCAATAACCTCTACAGAGCAAACGAGAGTAAATAGAGTAACGTTAAAACAGCATGACTCTCACAGGGCAACGCCATGTTGAGTTGTTACGCCATACCCAGGCGACAAACAGGAGGGCTGCAGTACCGAGAGTGGCCGCTAGATGGGAGCAGGTTAACACATTCCGTTGACTCGCCTTCAACCAACTTTTCAGGTCCAAAATAAAGCACTAACTTTATTCTATAAACTCTTATTTAACAATTATTAATTTGATTTTTTTAATATATGAAAATGTCGGTTTTTATCTTTGTACAAAGAAATTAGAGAGTTATGTAATCATTTTTCACTTGTGCATGTATATGTATTAAAGAGTGCATATATATATATATATATATATATATATATATATATATATATATATATATATATGTAGAAACCACACATTCGTTCTGTGTATGTTTTCTAGGCAGTAAAGGAATGTTGTTCCACACATGCTGCTTTCCATTGCTCACAGAATTAGACAGGAGCTAAGGGCACCTGATTTTATTTCACATATACACCATAGCCAAAAATATACAGACACCTCTTCTAATCAGTTTGTTTGACTAATTGAACCACACCTATTGCTATCCATACACAGACATTAGCAGTAGAATGAACTGTCCTGAAGAGCTGATTGACTTTAAACATGGCACCGTCATAGGATGCAAGTAATTCTGTTAAAGTCCTGCCTTGCTAGAGCTGCGCTGGCCAACTGTAAGTGCTGTTATTATGAAGAGGAAACACATAAAAATAAAATGTTTATAAATAAAAATGGTTTGTCCTTTGTTATAACTCTTTCTACCAAGCTCCAGATTGCCTCTGAAGGCAACATTATAACAAAAACAGCACGGTTTTGGTTTTCATGGCCGAGCTGTCGCACATGCAGGCGATTGTTTCCTGCCCAAAAGTAGAGTAACAGTAAAGTACGATGGTTTGTGCTGTTTGTCATAGTGTGGGCTAGACCCCTTAGTTCCAGTGAGTTCAAGCCTTCCTAGAAGAGCAGAAGCTTTTACTGCAGCAAAGGGGTGACAGAATCTATATTAAACTCATTAAAGCCCTTGGTTAGGTAAGGCCTTATTATGCTGTGGTCAAGGCTTAATTTTCCCATTCCCATGCCTTACTAAGTCATGGACACGCATTAGGATCTTGTTCCTGTGCATTACTAAGTCGTGGCCATGACTTAATTATCTTGTTCCCACACCTTACTAAGTCATGGCCACGCATTATTTTTAATTATATGGGATGTCACCAGCAGGGCTCCGTATGGATGTGATGTGTCCACCTAGTTTTGCCTATTAAGTATATCTGTTTATTTACTTTTTCTGTGCATCATCCGCCCTGATGAGTTTTACCTTTCTTTACATTAAAGTAGTAAAAACACTCTTAAAACCTGAACTTTTCATCTTTTTTATATGTTCAGTTTTTTGTTTGTTTGTTTGTTTGTTTGCTTAGTTTACATTGTTATTTATTCGCTTATTTATTTATTCCGCGCAGCTCGACCTTCCATTGGTCAAAAAAGGCTCTGGGCACGCCCACGGAGCCTGACAGGGCCCAATGACGCCTCTTCGTCACCTGCGCATGCGCGCTCGCCTGCCCAGCACTCCGTAATACCCCACGTGTCTTCCCGAGGGTCGCTCTGCTGCGCACGCACAGAGAGAGAGAGCGAGAGAGTAGCGTTACGATGGCGGCCGACGGTGGCTGTTCTCCTCCTTCGTGTCCGCTCGCGCTCCCGTGCGCCTTCTCCCCGGCCCCGCGGCGGCAGTACCTGGCCGTGTGCGCTCGGGACGGTCGCCTGCGCATCTGGGACTCAGACGGCGGCGGTAACCTGCGGCAGGAATACGCGCCCTCCGCGCGGCTCAGCGCCGCCTGCAGCTGCGTGGCGTGGGGCCCGTGCCGAACGACCAAGGTGCGCGAGTCACAGATCCGTTATAAAAGCAGAAACTGGTGCATTTTTGTTCGGAAAGAAAGAAACTGTTTTAAATTATCTCAACCGTTAAAGTCCATATAAGGGAACTAAACTGTTGCTATAGTGACGGGAGTACTAGGGCTGCTAAGCTAAGCTTAGCCCGCTTCTTGTTCGAATTTTCCCGGTCCACCTTAAATGTGTAAGTGAGCTCCTTCAGCCCGAGGCTCCAGAATGTAGTGCTGCACGAGTTAAGGTGGAACGGGGAAATTCGCCGACTGCTACTTCGTAGAACGAAACAATTTGATTTGACATTTTTGTGTGTTTGTAAGGAGCAAACTAAGCTTAATAACGCGCTATGCATGTCCGAGCTTCTATGTTGTCGTGTGTGTGTAACGTTATAAGTGAGCTCAGCTATTTCTCGGCCTACGTTAAGCTAGCGTGTTAGCCTAGCCCGTTAGCATCGCAGTGGTGAAACGCACATGTGGTCCGTCGCACATGTTCGCTACTAAGAAGGCCTCTGGGTGTTTTTTAAGCGCTGGAAACTTCTGTTTTGCCCTTTTTATCGGAGTAAAAACTGGCTAAATGTTTTGGTTACCGTTCATATTCGTGCCCGGTCGTTATTTGCGAACTTGGCTGAAGGGTCGCGGTTTGTCAGAGGAAATGAGAGCAGTTAACTAACGTTTAGTGGTGTCTGGCTGAAGTTTGTTGATCTGGCTCGCTAGTGATAAATATTTTATAACCGCTATCATTTCATGTGTCACTTAGAAACGTTAATAGCACTAAGTTTGTTTGTTTTTTTTTAAATATTAATTAGTTACAACTAAAATGTACAGGTTTTGGTGGTAAACTGAAAGGCCTAACGTTAGTGTGAAAGGCATGCATGGACATTTACCACAGGCAGCTATTTCAAAGTATTGAGGGCATTAAATGTAATCCTGTTGGACCCGTTTGTTGTAAAAGTACTCGAGCTGGACATCTTGGAGGGGAATTCCACCAATTTTCAGTCCTTGAGATGTAAACAGTCATCCAGAGTGGTTTGATTTGAAGTGGGTCACTGTAGAGAAACTTACATCCTCACCAGGGTTCAACATGTCTACAAGCAAATATAGCCGTTTTACTTAATATCCATAACCACCAGTGAACCTACCTGTGTCTTCTGAGATTTTATATGTAAGGTTGATGATGGCAACATAGTCATAAATCAGAAAAGCTTTCTTTGTGGGCTATACTGTCTTTCAACGCCCTGCATGTTTCTCTCTGCCATGAATGGATTAAAATACATTTTAGACCAAAACTATCATAAAACAATGTGTCAGACATCAGGCAGCGCATATCTAACCATTTAATGTAATAATTTTCTGTGAGGGAACTTGGAGGCATTAAACTCTTCAGACGTCTGGTTCCCATCACCCCCACTGTTAACAATTCTGACTTGGCAAGTTCTTCGGTGGAGTTCCTCTTTAAGTTACTTCAGTGTCAACAGGTGTTGGGAGAGCATTTCTTCAGATGGCACGTGTATGTGTCTTACTTTTTGGCTCTTGTTGGATGTTCGTAATTGATGTCAGAGTGGCTCTTGGCAGTTAAAGCAGCAGTACTGGAGAACTGCCATTCAGTTTTGTGTTTTCCCTGCTTTGACACTTGGGTTTCCTCTTGAAAAGCAGATTTGATATTAGTAGTGTAAGGAAAGTGCAGCCTTCTGTACTGTATGGGTCCTTTATGTCTCTAGGATTGGTCACATCAAAGGATGTAACTTGTGTAGTAGATGACAACTTTGGAGAAGCAACATGTGACGATCAGTTTTACTTTTTTGTTGTTTTTATGTAGATGCTAAATAAGTCTTAGAATTTAAACATGCAGGTGTTTAAGAGTTTTAAGCTACAGTTTGTTATATTTGTTATATTTATTTGGTTGTATTTTTGTTCATGTATTGTGAAAGCTATATCATTTTTGTGTCTTTGTACTTGTGTCTAGGAGGGTCCTCAGAGGAAGAAAAGGAAATCAGAGGCAGGACAGGCTGCACAGCAGTCGGATCTGTTGGCACTGGGCACAGCTGCGGGCACGGTCCTCATCTACAGCACAGTGAAGGGCGATCTCCACTGCACACTGGTACGAGGCAGCCGCTCACACTTGTCCACACTTTGCCATCTTACACCTGATGTTTTGTGTGGGTTTTATAGATCTGAGGGTTGAAAAATATGTGTTTAAAAAAAAAAAAAGGCAGAAATTTTTAAACCTCTTTGCCGTTTTAACATGCACATTTTAACAAACACTATTAGACTATTGCTGTGAGGAAAATTTAATAATAAAAAAAAATCTACACACCCACACAGTCTGATTGTTTGTTTGGTTGATGTAGTGATTTGTCTTTTCAGCTGTCTTTTCAGCTAATAAACTATCAGAACAATAACAGACTTGCACAACAGGCTCTGTACAAAAAGGTTCATCTTTTTAACTGTGCTTAAATGTGGCCATTTCACTTAAGAGACATAGTGTCATCTGTTTTTGTCCCTACATTCTATGCAGTTCACTCTCAGTTAAAGAAACTGAGTTCCAAACTACACATGCATGCCTTAGTAAGTACTAAGAGGAGACAGATATCTGTGTATTCGAATAGCCATGCTTATTTCTAGTTAAAACATGTTAATGCCATCAGATTATCTGGATCAGACCTTCAGCAGTTGTATAACTTGACATAAGGAATTGTTGTCCGTGTTTTAATGTACTTAAAACTGACCAACTCGCAGGATGGAGGGCATAATGGAGGGGTTAACAGTGTCCAGTGGCACCCAGAAGAGTCACTTCTTTACAGCGGCTCAGACGACACGCACATTGTTGAGTGGGACCTGCAGACGGGCAAAACGCGTTGGTAAGAAGAGCCCATTTTTATGTTTAATCTTTTAGCTGTGACATTATGATTTGATTTGCATTTGCCTGTCACTTTTCAGTCTGTTAATGCTGCAGTTTGTGAAATTTTGAGTCTGACTAATCAAACATAACGCTAAGTGCAGTTGTGCAGTTTCAGCCTGGGACCTTAGCTGTAAAAACCCTTTAAATTGTTTGGAAGTGGATACTGGTCATGTGACAGATGAAGGTAATTGGAGAGAATTCCTGATTGCACGTTGAAATCGTTTTGAAATTGCCAGGTCTAACTAGTCAAGTTAGCCTGTAGAATTTAGGTTTTGGCTATCAGCTGACGTTAGTGACCCATGGTTTTATCAGTATTGGTGTGCCTTGATAATTAGACTTATTCTGGTCAGTGCATTGCTGGGATTTATCTTTATGATCTCTTGCTGGTAGGACAAAACGCTTAGTATTTAACAGCAGGTATACAGGCTGAATTGGTGCATTTGAACACCAAAGACCATGATGGATTGTGAAACAAACACATGCAAACTGTACATAAATTATGATTAGAACTAGGCTGAAAAATATGAAGTCTCAGAGGTAAGAAACAGAAACCAGAATCACACAATATTTATATTTAAGAAGAGTTTCTGAGTTCAAGAAACATGACGATTCAAAACAGCAAAGCACTGATTGTGACATTATTGCTGTATAAACTTTAAAATCTGAAATGTGCATTTAGAATATCAGCCACACAATTTCATATCAGCCAGCCCGTAGCAGCAACTATTTATTGACAGTTTATATGGCGTTGTGCGGCTGTATCCTGCTCTAGTTAATTAGGAAAGTAGATAATTTTATGTTGCTCTGGGTTATGGGTCAGTTGAGGAACACCCTATGTAAATAACATGCACAGCTTCTTAGATTGAGCTTCTCAGTGCTCAGTCTTCTGGTCATAAGTATCATATGTGAATCATGGAATCATCAGCTTTTCTGACCTATAAATGTGAGTGAAAATAGCAGAAAGAAACTAATATTGGATCAGTACTTTTGCATAAAGAATTCATACATAGAGAAAACTGTCCAGCAAAGCAGTCTCTACTATGTACTGTGTCCTCAGTAGGTCATTGTGAATAGGTTAATATGTGTCTGTAGTGCTTTAGAAGGAGGTGATGCTTGTGTCCATCTGTGCTATGAACTTGTTTCTGTTTTTGGTCAACATTGAACAGTAATATGATAATGTGGCCACTTGTCGCTTGTTGTCTAAGCAGAGCCTGTGGATGCTAAAGGAATGTGTTTTTTCTCCTTAGTAAATGGAAAGCAGACAGAGCAGCGGTGACCAGTCTGTGTGTGAGTCCAGATGGGAAACTCCTGCTCTCCGCTGGAATGACCATCAAAATGTGGGATCTAGAGACCAAGGAAGTGTACAGAGTAAGTCTTAACACTTAGACGCAACAAAATATGGCCTGTGCAAAATGTGTGGCCCATTTTAATATTTTAATGTTTTATTTTTTTACTGTCGTAAACTCAAAAAAATAAAAATAGCAGAAAAATGTCATTTTAACGTATTAAATCGACAAAACATTTCACAGAGCTATAAAAAAATTCTGAATACAGCTGTATATGGGAAATTAGTTACGATGTGTAGCATTTAATTGTTTTGTCATTTGACATTCATCTTAGGAATGCACACTATCGCAGACAGCAGGATCAGTAGATAAAGTAGTTTGCAGTGTCCAGATGTTTAGATTGAACTGAGATTTCAAACTGTTGTTTGTGTTTTCTGTACGCCAAAAGGGCAGATAGATTAGGCCACATGGGCTACTGTGATAAATGTTTTATTTTATACATTTTATTGTATTTATAATGGACAGAAATAATGTTGTATTTCTCCATAATTATGGTTCAAGTAAGTTTAGTATGTTGTAAACGTTTATCAGCATCAGCAGATGTACATGAAAAAAAAATTCATCAGATTGTCGCCCACAATACTCAAACGAGGCTTATTTAAGGTGCTTGTGACTTTAATTGATTGGCTGGTAGGTGGACATGCAGGTTTAAGTATTGCCATATTTTACTCCAGTATTTAACTCAGAATTGTCATGTCCTGTTTGCAGAAGTTCACAGGTCACTCCACCATGGTAACGATGCTGTGCTTTGCCACAAATCGACCACCGGACAGCAACGGCCTCTACTTTGTGTCTGGAGCAGCTCACGACAGACTTCTCAGTGTGTGGTACGGAAACAGAGCCTGTTTTCTCCAAACTACATTTCCTGCACTTAAAATACTCATGAATAGTGGGGAAACTAAAAGCCTTTTGCTGCTGTAGTCCTAGATGCAGCAGACCAAGTACGATCCATGCTTGACTGGCATGCTTTTGATAGATGATTTGAATCAGTGTCTTTATGATGTTATTCCTCCCTATTATTTTTCTCTGTAGTCATCACATGTGTAAGGTGTGGGATTTGTGCTCAAAAAGCACTGAGTCCTCATGAATCACAGCTCTTTAGTAGATCACCTGTCATGTGTGTGAAAATGCTGTGAATGTAGGCAGCTATAGTTTGTAAAAACTCATCTGATATTTGTGAGCTTTACTCGACTATGATCCTTAAGCTGAGATTCTGGAGTGCTGCACCAGTACACATTTCAGCATACAGTGCTTTCCCTTCTTTGACATTCTTTAATTATTAGCTGTTAAGATGATGGTTTGATAATTAGCATAATAAGGTAGATTGGATGGAAATAATCTCCACTGTAGTTACCGATCGGTTTTAAGTTTTTCATCCCTCGCTCCACAGGCAGGTGCGATCTGATGGCAAAGACAAGAACTCTGTGGTATCCTTCACCTTAACGGACGAACCCCAACACATTGACTTACAGACATCCAACAGCAAAGATGAGGTGAGACCATGTTATTTTCTTTAATCGCTGAGATCTTTGTGCAAAGTCTTTCCAAGTTGCTGAGAAACCCTGCAGTTCTCTGCAGTTAACCTGTATGTGTATAAAGAATTGTGCCCAGTTTAATTCAACCAGTTTTAATAGTTCAAGCAAAACAATATACTATGTATGTAGTATCCTGTTGGGTGTAATATGATATACATAGTTTTGGATAGAGTATCAGTTTGCATAGTGTACATGTGTAACTGCTAATATTTCTCTTCTCCAGGCGGTGAGGTTAGCAGTGGTGTGTAGGGATGGGCAGCTTCACCTCTTTGAGCACTTTCTCAATGGGTGAGTGTGTTTGCTTACTTCTTACAGTCATCCTGTAAAGTAAAGAAACTGATGAGGTCCAGTACAAACTTTGTTCCAGTGAACTTTACCAGCCCAGCAGGTTCTCAGTGATTTTGGCTTATTTTGGTTCTTTTCTTGTTGCAGTTGTAGTGTTTCCCCACACATGGGCTGTACTTGAGTGGCTCCCTGATGTTTACTGACAGCCACTGACACTGTGAATTATGCCCCCTGCCCCCCGTTACTATTGTTATATATTATCATAGAAAATCCAAATTTTCTTTGCTTATTTAAAACGTAGTTTGATGTAGCCTATTTGGTCTGTTAGTTTTAAAATGTGACATTCATACAGAAGATATGGAAAGTGCTGTATGAAATGAATCTGCAGAATTTTTTTTCCCCAAACATTCATAACTGCACATTCCCTGTTCTCATGTTCACAGTAATCAATGTTACTGTCCTTGATGGAGGCTTATGCCAAAACACATTGAGTTTTTGTCCGCAGTCATTTTGCAGTGAAGCCTTTTTAACTCAGTAAAGATGCCATGGATTTTTCCTTTTTATCAAGCCTTTGAACCCCGTTCTGTAGAGCGTCTTCACTATTTGAGTGTTTAATTCCCTATGAGTAGAATTGTGCTTGTACCAATCTTATATTAAAATACTTTATCGAATTCTTATTATTACTTACTGTTTTAATGACAGCTATTCTACCGTCTCTTTACTTTCTTGCAGGCCATGCAAAAAGCCCTTGTCTCCAGTGTGTTCGGTGCAGGTGTCAAGTGTTGGAGGAAAAGCGGAGGGCGACACACCTGTACCTGTGCCCCTGCTGGCTGCATCTCTGTGTGCAGACAAACAGAACCTTGTTCTGGCTTATGGAAACCAATTACAGCCTGTCGTAGAGAAAATGGTGAGTGGCTTTTGCTGTCTGATCAAGGCTCTTAACGCTTGTCTGTCCATGATCAGCAAATGTATATAAAGGGACGATTGTGAATGTTAATGTCTGTTATTAACATTGTTAGAGTGTATTGTCAGTAGATCATGGGGCGCCTGCAGTTTAATTCTCTTTTACTTTGCAAAAAACCTGTAACCCCTAAAGTCATGATTCATTAGAGCCCTTGTTTATAGTGTAGTGCACTGTTTACCGTTGACAGTGTTAATACTTTATTGGCCGGTCTCTTAGAGCTGGATTAAGCATAAGCCTAGACTAAATAGGACTTTGAATGGTTTGGTCCAAGACTATGTTTAATCCGTGCCCAAGAAACCGTCCCTGTGGGCAGATGAATTGACCCATTTTGTAGTGTTTGTTTCTTCAAAGGCAGATGAATTTGCATGTCATCACACTTAGTATTATTGATCTTGTACTTGTTATGAGTCTTTACTGTAATCATATATAAATAGTAAATAAAGTGCTGAGTGGCTTGTTTGTATTTTCCCACAGCCTATAAATACAACAGAGAGGCACATGTGCCTGATCCGAGACTTGCACACCACACTCTCGCTTTCTGTTGATGCTGCTGTGTCCAAGGTAATAAATACTTTTTTCTACTTTTTTTTTCTCTACTGTTTTTTTTTTTCTGTCGTTTAGTTAAATTATTCTCAATATTATATAATTATCATCTAGTTGAGGGCAGAATTTGTCCGATTTTAACCGTGTTGCAGTGAATGTGTGACACTGCAGCTGCCGTGATCGATTAGCTAAGATTTGTATAGAACCAGAAGAAAACTATGTCTACGTGACTCTTAATGCATAACGCATGAAATGCGTAGCTGCTTTAGTGGAATTAGAAGCATAACAGGAGCGTTTGCCTGACTGGAATGTTTCCCTCACAGGTGAAGACGCCTATTGTAAATGAACAGAAAAGCAAAGTTCTAATACCGGGACTTCCTGGGCATCAAGCACCAATCAAAGCAGCTCCCAGTAAATCAGAGAAGAGGAAGCAAGGGTCCAGCGCAACAGAGGTACGGCCAGTGACTACATTAACATGCACAAACTTGTATTTTTGAGACATTGTCTTTTTTCCAGCTCACCTCTCACTTTCCCTCTTTCTCTTAATGTTCTCAATCTCCCTAGATTTCTATAGAGGAGCGGTTGGAGCAGATCGAGTTAAGTGTATCGAGGGGTAAAGGTGGGGATAAGGCTGCTGCTTCCTCTCTACAGACGGACAGCTTTGCTGTGCTGTTGGTGCAGGGCCTGGAGAGCAAGGATGAGAAAATCCTTAATGTGAGTATGCATACCCACAAAATCAATATTGCCTCACGTGTCAGTGCTTGTTTAAAGAAGCACAGGTAGAGTTTCTCAATACTCTGTGGGCCTGTTGTACTAGTGTTTAGTGCCTTATAAGCTATTATGAAGCATCAAGATTGTACACAAGTATAGATGCTGCAAACACAGTGGGCCATTGAATATCTGAGGTTTTTCAGCATTGTCTAGTAATTGATTAGATTGCTGAAGCTGCAAAATTAACTTTGAAATGTTTTGATAAATTTGGGTGTCTCTGCAAGGTGCTAGCAAGAAGCTCTTTGGACCAGATGAAGCCTAAAGCGAGATTAAAAGAACTTGGTGAACCACCATTGGTCCTGCAGTTCAGTCCAAGACTAGGTTTAATCCATGATGCGGGAACTTAAATGTTAAAATTTTAAGGAGGAAGTGTATATTCAGAGTGGTGTGTGAAGTGGTTCATTGTAGAAAAACTTGCTGACTCAGATTTCTTTACAGTGATGGTGATGGGAACCAGGGGTCGTGAAATCTACTATGCAAATATAACCATTTTATTCACCATCAAGAATGACCAGTGAACCTACCTTTCTTGAGTGTTTTTTATATGTAATGTTGGTAGAATGGTGGTCTTATTTTGTCCTTCATGTACCTTTTTTTTGCCATCAATGCATTAAAAATTACATTTTAGTCCAAAACATTCTCAGATCTATTGTAAAATGGTGTCTGACATCAGTCAGCTTTTTCATAATGCATGTAATAACATTCTATAAGGGAGCTTTTAGAGGCCTTAAACTTTTCAGGTGTCTGGTTCCTATTACCACCAGTGTGAGCAATAGAACGGAGTATTTCACATCATACCGCTCTGAATGACTTTGCTGACTTAAGCAGATTTTTTTAAAATGTAGAATACCTTCAGTCAGTAGTTCTAACCTGTTTGTCAGTTGCTCTTTTTGAGTACTCAAACTATGACTGTGTAACCAGCCTGGATATCTGTGGAGTTTCACACCTTATCTAACATGCTTGATGTAGATAGCAATGATCTTCCAGTGCATCTGCACATCAGGGGCGTTCGTGTCTAATCCCCTTTTTGAAGCGTTAGCTCCAGGAGAGGCAGCACAACTGATGTGTTTTTGGTTCACTTCCAGTTCAGTCAAAGAGCAGAAATGCAGATAACCGAAAGGTTTATACTTGGAGGATTTTCAAGAATTAAATGTAATACATTTGTTAAATTACCCAAAGTTATGTTGCGTCTGTGCAATGAAAATGATGGCATGTCTCATTCATCCTTTTTTCCCTATTCCAGAAAATCTTCCAAACAAAGAAAGAAGCCTTGATAAAGAAAACGGTTGCCCGGTTACCACCTACGGCTGTCTTGCCTCTATTGGAAGAGGTGAGGGACCGAAGCTCACATTTCCCACATTATAACAAGCTTTTTGGTGTTTACCGTTTTTGATTTCATTCTTGTCATTACTCATACTTTGTGTTTTGTAGCTATCAAGAAGACTGCAAGGACATCCATTTGCGTAAGTAAACTCTGCTTAATTATTCTGTAATGCTGTCCTGTGGTAAAATGTGCATTTTGTGGATAAACTCATTTAATGCATCTTTCTGCAGGGCGATACTTATAGTCCAGTGGTTAAAGGCAGTTTTGACGCAGCACACGTCATACTTATCATCGGTAAGAATGTGTGTTTTTATGTAGACGGGTTAGCTTTTGTCCTGTCTGATTTTCCTCAGTAATGGTTTTCTGTTCTTTTCTATGGTTCAGCTACCAGACCTGGTGTCTCAGTTAGGGATGCTGTACCACATGATTGAGAGCCGGGTGAAGTTGTACCATCAGCTGACGAGACTTCACGGCAAACTCTACCTGCTCATGACTCAGGTACTAGAGCCAAAGCTTCTCTCCCACTTCAGTTACAGTAAAGGGGTCTTTGCTTCACACAAAGATTATATTAAGGGGGAAAAGGTCATTCAAACAATACATCCTCCACCACTTTGCCTTCCACTGTCACTGAAGACCCTTTGGGCAGTGTGGCAGTGCTGTTGTCTGAACTGGGAAGTTTTTTAGTTGTCACTGCACTGCACTGGGGGTTATTAATGATGAATATTTTGCTGCCTGTTTGTCCTGTGATATTGGCTTTATATGTATTATTGGCTATGTTACTGTAGATTATTGCCAAAGTTACGGTTGCTAGGAGTATTTATTTGAAATGAGTGCTACTCTGCTCTGTATTGCTATTAACTGTTTATAACTGTTCTCTCCACTAGGTGGCAGCAAGCAGCAGTGCTCCCAAAGCTGGTGACCTGGACCACACAGCCAAGCTTGTGTATGAGGAAGGTAAGAATGCATCACTTTAATACCTTATTTGTTGAAAGGACAGTCACTTTGTGACAACTTTTCAATGTTTTGTTAAATGGTTGCACACAAACCTCACAGTCTTGCGCTTACAAAAAATGTGACGCCTCCCGCTTTGCATCACTACATTATACGTTCATAAGATTAGTGCCATGTGAGGTCAGCGTGTGAAGTGTTTGAGGAGGTGCAGGTTTTGGTCTAACTTGGACACTAATTACTGGACACGCACTCAACTTGCTCCTAGGACTTTCAGTGAAAGATCAGCAATGACCGCAGTCAAAGGGCCCATATCGAAATCTGAACCCTACATATGGCAGATATGAGGTAGAAAAGCCTCCAAAAACTACAGGAGTTTTAGGGTACATATCTTGGGAAAACCATTTCCCTCGTTTTTTGAAATGCGGCAGTTTGAGGTAATCAGTAAACATTGAGTTCCAAGACTCTCACATCAAGTCCATACAAAAAAAAGTCAGTTTTGTGTTTCTGTGATGTCATGAGAGCCAGTTCAGTTACATATATCCACCTCTTCAGCCAGTCATAGTTTTGCTTTGCCTAGTCACATTAGGGAGTGTTTGACCGGCAGCCAATCAGAACAGAGATCATTTACATATATCAGTCTTTAAGGCACGTTAAGAAAAAATAGCCGGTTTGTTTCTAAGGTATAAAGAGATTGGGAAATGGTCATGTTAAGATTTTTGGTACAAAAAAGCACACCTTGGGGGGAAAAATAAAGAAAATTGCAGGACAAGGTCCTTTTAATTTTAATCAGAAGTTGAATGTAACATGATTTTGTTCCAAGTGTTTTTGGACCGTTTCTTGGTCTCCATTCATGATGAAATGTTACCATATAAAGATTGGCCTGTATTCTCAAATCATGCTTAAAAATGTAATGAAAAATAAAAATAGAGAGCAACAGTGTTTCAGCATGGACTGCAGTTTGAATGAGGCACAATACAGGGCAGCCAATCAGAACAGAGCATTTCCAGTCTTAAAGGTATAAACAGGGATAAAGAGGTTGGTGAATGGTAATGTAAAAATGAATTGTGACTCTTTTGGTACATGAATGTAAGAATTGAAGGAGAAAAACTAAAATACAAGGAAAAATGCAGAATATGGGCCTTCGTTCTTGTGGATTTGAAGAACTGCCTTTAATGTCTGTGGCCATGTTTTGCAGAGTCTTCAGAAGATGAAGACTCCGGAGCTGAAGGACTCCATGACGATGACTCTGATGTAAGCATTTAAAAAAATTATTTGAAACATGTTCGTCAGAATTCTTTGTAGCTTTTTAAATTGTTCAGCTTTGTGCAGTTTATTACAAACGTCCACACACAGTTCATTATTCTATGTGTCAACAGGACTGGGAGGAAGAGGAGGAAAAGGACGGGGCAATGGAGGTGACGGAAGATGGGGAAAATCATGCAGACAAGGATGATGACGATGACGAGGATGACATGAAAGAAGAGTCCAAAGTGAACGGTGATTCGGACTTAGACCCTGAAAATGAGAGTGAAGAGGAGTGAAAAACAAATCAACAAAGGAAATTGACAAAAAAAGGATCCGGGAAGATTTATATATTTCATTTTATTTTTCTTGTTTTCATTTTATTGTAAAATACAAGAAAGGTTGTTTTATAGAGTTCCAACAGCCGCTGTGTCCTGGACTTAGAGTGGCCGTTTCCCCAGGATGGCCACTAGGGCGGCGACACTTGACAGCTTGACCAGGCTGAGAACTGCACAGCAGAAATGAGTGTCTGAATTCCATTCTACTTGCAGTTCGTCCACAGACTGCCTCCATCTTTTGTGTTTTTTGCCCCGGTGCTGTGGTAACTGTACCACACCTTCCTTTAACATGTGGCAGGAGTTAGTCAAGGCTCAGGTTGTATATTGTATCCATATACAATATGTGTATCTGTCCAGTACAGCGTGTTTGAGTCTCGCAGCTTTATGATGAAATTTCCAAATTGCCAACAAATACTGGGAATTAAAGACTTGATCAGTGTTTTGTAGTTTTTTGGATTTTCCTTCATTGTGAACCCACACAGAGCTAACAGTTACCCTGCTTGATTTTATAAGTGAATAAGTCAAGATTCTGGTCAGTCTGAATCATAATTGCCATATGACTGAGAATTGCAAAGATGTCAGACTTAACCAGGTCTCAATGAGATGTATATCATAACCTGAAAGGCCCAAAAATCATTCAATACCAAAACTGTACTGATTGTGGCTTTAACCCCTACACATGGACTCCTTGAAAGTATCAAGACGACTTTGGGTCCAGAAATAAAATCGTCACACATCGAGCAAATTTTTCAAATCTGTCGATCAACAGTCTATAATGTGCCTTTGTGTTTCTAAGCCACCTTTTCATGTTTACCCCCCCCCCTTTCTTTTCTCTCTGTATGTGTCTGTCTGCCTGCAGTGTTGGAGGGGACTTGTGTCCTTTAATTACCGCTAGATGGCAAGCTTAATAGTGGAAGACCATGTGAACGTTGCCCAATTAGGTGAATAACGAATATTCAAGAGTTTATTCATACGTCTCTCAGAGGCTTGAGAGGTGCTTGTTGATGCTCCAAAAAAAAGTGGTTGCTTCAAAATTTGTCAACCATAATCTTTTTCATGCAAACAATATATCCACGACTGTTGTACAGTTTCAATGAAATAAATTTTTTTTTGGTTCTCAGAGGTTGTGTGTGGGTTCTTATAATAAAAAAGCAAAGCCACATCTTAAATCAAACTCAATTTTAGATGGTTTTAGTTAAAGGGGAATTCCACTAAATTTTTGAAATTACAGGATAGTTCTATTGCATATGATAGTCATTCAGAGTGGTTTAAACTGCATACAAGTTACATTGATGAATGTCAATAAAGAGCTGCTTTACTTGACTTGCTGTTCTAGACAAGTGAGCCTTAATTAAAGTTTCTATGTAATGTTAATGATGAAAAAACTGGTGGTGATTCTTTTTTTTTTTTTTTAAAGAATACTTTAGAAAATGATTCTATATAGTGCCAAAATGATTCTTTACAGAACCATGAGTTCTATGAAGAAATACATGCTTAAATGGTTCTTTGCATGGTGAAATCATTCTTCAGATTGATGGTAAATGTGTTGTATGTTTCTATACAGAACCTTTATAAAACGGTTCTATAGCACCAAAAAGAGTTCTGTTACGAGCTTGACATTATAATAGTAGCGGAACCCTTTTTGGTGCTATATAGAACCATATGGAGCCTACAGTTCTGAGACTGTTTTCTAGAACAGAGTATTTCACATCAAACCATGATTGACTTTACATCTTATCCATTTGATGATGCTGAAATTTTGAAAATTTGCTGGAATTCCCTTTGAGACCTCCCTATGGCCATGGCTTTCCTCATGTGGCTGAGTGGGTGTCACACCCAAAAAGGGTTCTGCTGTTGTTACGATGTCAAGCTTGTGACAATACAAGAACCCTTTTTGGTGCTATATAGAACTTTTTTTTTAAAAAGGTCCTATATAGAGCCATATACAACACATTCTCCATCAATCTGAAGAACAATTTCGCCATGCAGAGAACCATTTAAGCATGAAATGGTTCTATATGGAACTTGTGGTTCTAAATAGAACCATTCCCTTCACTAAAGAGCCCTCGAAGAACCATCTTTTTAATAGCATACACTAGCAAAAAAAGGGGTTTTGGCTCATAACAACAATTGAAGCCTTTTTGATTCTATACAAGAGTTCTTTAAAGAACCACATACAGCTTTTTTTCCTCATTACAGAGAAGAACTGTTTGACCATGCAAAGAACCGTTTATGCATTTCAATGGTTCCTTCAGTGTTCATTGTTCCATATAGAACTGTTGCCTTTCCTACATTCATAAAAAAGATATTTCTATAGTAAACTATAGTTCTATAGTCTGTGTAGAACCATGTGTTCTTAATAGAACCATTTCATGCTTAGATGGTTCCCTGCATGGTACAATAGTTCTTAAGATTGATGGAGTCTACACTGCATACGGTTCTGTATAGCACCAAAAAGGGTTCCACTACTGTTATAATGTCATGTTCGTAACAATAGAAGAACTCTTTTTGGTGCTATATACAACCATTTTCAGAAAGGTTCTGTATAGAACCATATACAACACATTTACCATCAATCTGAAGATCTATTTCACCATGCAAAGAACCATTTAAGCACAAAATGGTTCTATGTAGAACTCAGGGTTCTGTATAGAATCATTTTGTAAAGTGTTCTTTAAAGAACCACATGCAGCTGTTTTTTTTTTCATTATAGAGAACTATTTGACTGCAAAGAACCATTTATGCATTCAAATAATTCTGTCTGTTCATGTTTCCATATAGAACCGTTGCCTTTCCTACACTTAAAAAAGATGGTTCTTTAGTAAAGGGAATGGTTCTGTTTATAGCCATGGGCTCTAGGTAGAACCACTTCATGCTTAGATGGTTCTTTGAATGGTGAAATGGTTCTTCAGATTGATGAATATGTTGTGTACATGGCTCTATACAGCACCAACCAGGATTCTGCTATTTTTACGATGTCAAGCTTTAAACAACAGCAGAACCCTTTCTGGTGCTATATAGAACCATTTTCAAAAAGGTTCTATATAGAACCATATACAACACATTCTCCATCAATCCGAAGAACCATTTCGCCATGCAAAGAACCTCTCAAGCATGAAATGGTTCTATGTAAAATCCATGGTTCTACATAGAACCATTCACTATACCAAAGGACCCTTGAAGAACCAGTTTTAAGAGTGTAGCAGAGGTGCAAGTCTCTCATTCCACACAGCTGGTCCAGCTCCTCAGCCCATCCCAAAGGCCTCAGTGAGCTGTATTTGGTGTATTCAGGTTCAAACCTGTCCTGTATCATCATATAAAACGGTTTTTGGTAAATGTTGTGACCGAATATATGAATAAAACTTATTTACGTTTAATTAAATATGCTTAACTTGATTGGCCAAGGCCTCACTAAACCTACAAGTATCTGAACCCACACTGAGAGCTGGTCAGGCAAAGTCGTTTTGTGGTGAGTAAAGTGCCCTAAACGCCCTCTAGGCGGCGCTCAGATGTCGTCAGATCATTGTTAAGTAGCTATCCTGCCCGAGCCGATCTCAGATCAGATTTCCTCTGCTCAGAGGGGCGTTAAACGTCACGAGTGGTCGAGAAACTGATCCCCCAACACTGGAATGAAGCTACTCAGTAAACACTCCGCACTCCTATTCCGGAAAACCCCGCCTCCTGCGCTCCGATTGGCTCGAATGCTTATAAGTCTGAACTACTAACAAATCCGTAGCGCAGGGGGCGGGACCCTACTAGCCAATCCTAGGGCAGGACGCGAGACATTATTAGCCAATCCATCTTTTTTGGCAAATCCGGCGTAGGAGGCGGGGCGAGTCGGAATACGGGTGGAGAGAATAACGCAGCCTCCGTTCTCCTCAAACTCATGTCCGTAGCTGAGCTGAAAACAAAGCTTCAACAAGTTTAAGTCGGAGACGAAGCCGCTTCTCGTCGTCTTTTATTTGTAAGTATTATCTGATTATTTAATATTTCAAAATACGTTTATAAAGAGGCGAGTAAACAGGACGTTTTGGAAGTACTAAAAGTCAGAAAGTGCAGATCTTAAGTTACTCATTTGTTCTCGCTGTGCGGCAGACACTGGTAGAGTCTATATATATATATATATATATATATATGTGTGTGTGTGTGTGTGTGTGTGTGTGTGTGTGTGTGTGTGTGTGTGTGTGTATAACACCGATCAGGCACCTCCTTGTTTCTACACTCATTGTCCATTTTATCAGCTTCACTTACTACATAGATGCACTTTGTAGCTCTACAATTACAGACTGTAGCACTGCTGTGTCTGATCCACTCAGACCAGCCCAACACACACTAACACACCACCACCACGTCAGTGTTACTGCAGTGCTGAGAATGATCCAACACCCAAACAGTACCTGCTCTGTGAGGTTCCATGGGGGTCCTGACCACTGAAGAACAGGGTAAAAGGGGGCTAACAAAGTATGCAGAGAAACAGATGGACTACAGTCTGTAACTGTAGAACTACAAAGTGCACCTATATACAATGTACAATGCTGGTACAATGGATAATGAGTGTAGATACAAGGAGTTGTACTTAATGATGTGGCTGGACGGTGTATGTAAATATATTTTTCAGTGTACTCAAACTTCGGTTTCATAGTTTCAAAGTGCACCTATATAGTAAGTGGAGCTGATAAAATGGACAATGATATATATATATATATATATATATATATATATATATATATATATATATATATATATATGTATATGTGTGTGTGTGTGTGTATTTGCTTAATTTTATTACTCATTTGACTCATTATTTTTCCTCTTATTTGGGAGACACACCTTCTCAATTCTCAATATTGATCATAGCCTGGGCTATTTATTCTAACATTAGGTAGGAATTCATATTGAGAATTGAAATAGTGACGTCTTTTAGTATTATAAAGTTTATAAATTAGCTTTCAAGTGTTTGCAGAGTGGTAATGAACTTGGTTGTGTATGCCTTCTATCACCTCATATGATAGAAAACATTTGGGAAGCACTGTTCATATCTCTCTCTTTCTCTCTCTCTCTCTCTCTCTCTCTCTATCCTTTCTATAACCTCATATCTTTGCAGGCCTAATGTCTATGCACCTTAGCTACCCTGTTCTCTAAAAGCTCCAGATCTCCATCCAGCAGCCTCATCCACATCCCAGTTTTCTTTCCCGAAGCGTCCGGCATCCCTCGGTGCCATGAACTGGGCATTTCTCCAAGGCCTCCTGAGCGGGGTCAACAAGTACTCTACAGCGTTCGGCCGCGTGTGGCTCTCAGTCGTCTTCCTCTTCCGGGTCATGGTATTCGTTGTGGCTGCGGAGAAGGTGTGGGGGGATGAGCAGAAAGACTTCACGTGCAACACGGCCCAGCCAGGCTGCCACAACGTCTGCTATGACTTCTTCTTCCCCGTGTCCCACGTGCGGCTTTGGGCCCTGCAGCTGATCTTCGTCACCTGCCCCTCGCTTCTTGTGGTGCTTCACGTGGCCTACCGCGAGGAACGGGAGCGCAAGCACCAGCTGAAGTACGGCGAAGGCTGCCAGCGGCTCTACCAAAACACAGGCAAGAAGCGCGGAGGCCTCTGGTGGACCTATGTCCTCTCACTGATCTTCAAGATGGGCGTAGACGCAACTTTCATCTACCTGCTCTACTACCTGTACGCGGGCTATGACTTCCCATCGATGGTCAAGTGCATTCAGGAGCCCTGTCCCAACACGGTTGACTGCTTCATCTCACGACCCACCGAGAAGAGGATCTTCACGCTCTTCATGGTGATCACCAGCCTGGTGTGCATCCTCCTCTCGCTCTTCGAGATCCTCTACCTGATGGGCAAGCGCTGTTGCGAGTGCGTCTCAAAGTTACAGGGCTCCAAGCAGGCGGCCCGGGCCACGGCTATCCAGAACACCAACAGCCTGCTGGAGACCAACACCAAACGGTTGGTACGCAAAGGCGAGCCCGCTCCACAGTACATGGTGACGGTTGCAATATGAGAAGAACAAGTACCAAAACACAAGAGACTCAAGACCCAAGGGATTTAACTGGACAATGATAATAATCGTAAGGGTATTTAACTCTAAATGCCTAGATGTGTTGTTCAGTTATTCATTGAGTGACACAGGAGAGACCACCATTAGGGTATCTCAAGAGGGATCCTCATGAGACAAGAAACTGAAGAGCCTACGTGGTCCTGAGAGGTTTCTGTCTTAACTCAAAGACTGAGAATGCATTTAACTTCCAAGTCTGCGAAAAGATCGAGTTCAGAGTGGGAAGAACACACACAACATTCTGCTTATCCATCAATCTGTGCCTTTATCGTCCCAAGACAGGCTTGTTTTTACTACTTAGAAATTTACCCTCAGGTCGTTCTTTCCTCATACCAGGTAACCAGTGGAGACTGGCTCGATCAAAAGTCTTGGAGAAGATGTGTTCCTACATAAACACTGAACGGGGTGGAGCTCCATCAGGAAATGCCTAGAACAAGTTCTCTCAAGTCTTCCCTTTGCGTTTTCATCCACACATTCAGGCCTGCTTCGGCTCTGAATCAAAGCGGACAAGAAAAAGCAAGCTAGGCCTTCTGTTCAAAGGCAAAGCCGGCCATCTGTCATCCTCGAGTCAGAGAAGAGAATATTGTGCAAACAGTGAACTGATGTATCAGCCCCACACCCGAGTACAGGTTCGGACAGAGAAGGCCATGCTGCCGTAGGGATCGGCCCAGGAACAGACTTTTCTTCGCTGTTTTCTTTTACACAGTGGTGGTGGTGGTGGCCTAGCGGCCAGAGAATGTGGTGATGAACAAAATATTTCCTGGAGCTGATGATAACTGATGTATCCATTGTTCCCCAGAGTGAGACACTTTGTGACATTGTAGTCAAACTATGCAAAAGGCCATTCCAAATCTTGAACGGCACTGAGGTATTGAATGCTAGTGTTACACTTGAAATGAGAAATAAAGAACAAAATTTAGAGCTTATCCAGCACTTATAAAGTACAAACAGTAGACAATGTAGTGGACTTACAGGGTGACTAGCGTGTAATCTTTTAAAGTGCCTAAATCTCAGTATGTTTCTTATTCAGGTTAATGAGGATACTGTGTTTCTAATATGAAAGAACATAAGGAACCAACTGTAGCCATTTTTTACAAAAAAGGATGAATCATTAAAGTAAAGCCCTATTGGAGCTGGATTAGTTTTACCAGGCGAGGGCCGGTAATGTAATCTGTACATGATTTGACTGGCTGATTTGTACGGGAGAAAGGATCTCAGTAATTTACCCAAATTAACCCAAAAAGCCTGAATCGAAACATCATCATACGGATGTAAACATCAGCATTATGCGACAGGCACCACACTTCCGAACAATAACAACACGTTGTGTGGCTAAACGATATATAGACTAGCATTAGGCTAGAAAAGTGGGTTCATTCAACTTACCAAATTATAGCAGTTACATTCAGGCACCTGACTCTGTGTACACACCGGCAGCGACTTTTTGCCTCTTGTCATTCAAATCGCTGGTTGCTCATCGCTTGTGGGCCATGGTTGGTTGCCATGGTTTCGCTGACCCCAAGCACAAATTTCCGCTAGAAATACAAATCCTGGTGAGAAATTGCTTGTGTGCTTATTTTTATTTAATCCCTGTGTCTGTGCAGTCAGTATGTGAGGAACACAGTATTTGGTCTTTGCGATTATTGTCTGTTTGCAGTGAAAGCACCGCTGCCATTATTCCATCTCTAGTAAGAACAATTACCTAGGAACTGAAACAGGAGCGCACTGTTTTGCAGTGGCGGAGATAAAGCGCGTACTATGCCGCTCAATGCTCAATTCCTATTGGTAGTCGTCACATCGCTTCACTCCTTACATGCATAAAGTTATAATTCGCTCAATTTTGTTGTGTCGCTGACTCAGCTGACTTCGCGTTGCCAATTTTCGTGTTCAGTAATCATTCAAATTACAGCGCGTCCTCATGTAATACTAATCCAGCTCAAATAGGGCTTGAGTAATTAGTTTTAAAGAGTCACATTATCTCATATTTTAAACACAACACATACACGATAAATACACAATAAAAGTCAGAGACCTCCCTTTCCAGTCAAAATGACCATTAAGTTATTCATTTTCAGCATCAGGAAAAAAAAGCAGACAAAACGGAACACAAAAGTCTCAACAGCTAAAGATGATCTCAATTTTCTCTTAAGTCTCTCGACTTTATTTTATCTTCCATTCTTTTCATGAGAGTCAGTCTTACAAAGAAATCCGCAGGCGTATTTTTCCACACCTACCAAGTTCAGTCTTAGAAGTTGGTTGAACTTTTCATTCTCACAATCCTGATTTAACCATTTGGTGTCCTACTATAATTTAAGCACTCAGTTAGTTTGCACTAGTTATTGGATAATAAGGCTTAGGATGGAACAAGCCTGGAAATTTAAGGCAGTAAAATATATACAGTATAAACTGTAGTCTGCATTATCTTTGCTTTACCAGCAGAACTGCAAAACTGACTGCAAACTGGAATCCACATGTAACCAAAACCCCAACTCTTAACCCGGGCAGTGTACAGTTCAGCACAGTGAAAGCAAGTAATATCGCCTGATTAGTCATCGCTCATGGTTTTTTCTGCTAACATCTGGATGGACTTTTCTTTTGAGAAAAACTAAAAAAAGTTCACATTGGCTGCTCCCAAAGGTTTTTCATGACATCCGTTCTGCACAGTGACTCATTTTTATGCTTTAATTTAGTAGCACAAACGTGTTTAACAGCATACCAAGAAAGACTGCAGCTGATAAGCCCACCCAGCACCTTATTGTGAAATATCCATATGCTGTATGGCAACTTTCTTGCTGTATGCGTAGGAACCATTTCACAGCCAATGTTGCTTAAAGGGAAATTCCACAGATTTTTAACATTATCTACATAATGAAGCATTCAAGAGTGGTTTGACATGAAATGCAGAGTCAGAATTGTTCACAGTGGTGGTGATTGGAACCAGACGTCACAATATAACACAAATATAGCCATTTTATTTACTATCCAACAGCAAGAGTGACTCTACATGTGTTTTCCGAGTTTATATGTGAAATGTTGAAAATGACAAAGTGATAAATCTGGAAATAAGGTTTTCTTTGGGTACTATTTTGCCTTACAACACCCTGCACATACCCCTCCACCAAGAATGTATTTCGAAAATCTGTTTTAGGCACAAATTGTCTCTTAAAACTACAGAAAATGGTGTATAACTTTTTTTAACATAGTGGCCTTCTATGGAAGCCTTTAGAGGCATTAAACTCTTCAGACGCCTGGTTCCTATCACCATCACTGTGAATAATACTGAGACCAGGAGCTGTAAGGAAATCTGTATAGTTTACATCTGAACGATTGAATTATGCAGAAATTTGGAAAAATCGGTGGAATTCATCCTTGAGCAAAGTCTGTTTACGCTTTTCGGACACCTCTTTGGCCACAGGCTTGCTTGTTTTTTGGTTGCTACACTTTTTGAAATGAAATTTCATGCATTTTTTGTACATGTTATTTACTTTTAGAGCTACTCTACTGCCAGCACCTGGTCTCGATACACGCACTTCCTGCAGGAATTCTTAGGGTGGAACTCGTTTGAGCTGGGAACATTTACAGACAGGTTTACTGTTGTTTTGATGAACAAACTGCTGCACTCAGGGAATGCAGACTTTCTGCACCTTCTACTGAACGACTGTCATTTTCTCAGTGCATTGCAGCATTTCTCTGTGACAGGTCCAGTCAGGGATTGTTGGTGTCTTTGCATGTGTTTTGTTTTTGGCCTTTTTTCATGAGCTGAATGGTCTCTAGGCCTGCAGCTGCCCAGACCTGCTGTACGATCAAATCCTACACATGTTGTTGGGAGACAGAAGAGGAGACGAGCATGTTTGGCTTTTCACTCATAAACATGCATCCCCTGAATGTAAACCACTCTGATCGTGGATTTCCTCTGTTTGGCCTCCATCTTCCCAGCATTCCTTCCTGCTTACCATGTGCATCTTGTATTGTTTACAGTTTCACATTCATTAAAGTCTGTTTTGTATTTTCTTAACAGTCTCTGTCTTATTGTAATAGAGGAAGTAGTAATGCAGGCTGAGTGTCTAATGCACTGGAATGGCATTTAAAGGGCCCTTATCCTATATTTTTATTGTATCTTTTTCTTTGTTTGTGTGGCTTTATTAACAAAAAATGGTCACACATTCTTTTTTAAATGACCATTATTCAACTTTCCCTTTCCCTTAGAATTAGACAGTTACTGTGCCTTCAAGGCAGATATGTAAATGAGTGAAGCTATACTGCTGTAGGCTGAAAAACTTGGTTTCTGTGACATCACAAAAACAGTTCATATAAAAGAGGCTGGTCTTACAACCTAGTTTTCATATGTGTACCAAGTATGGACTTGGTAGTGACCAGTTTTGAGATTGGGACAGTGTTTATATACATCAAAATGAGGGAAAATTTGGCTTTCCTATATATGGGCCCTTTAAAGGAGAATTACACCATATTTTACAATTTTTTGTGAAGATAATTAAGGTAAACAAAGTCATTCTGTGGCTTGATGTGACAAAATGGTGCCCCTCAAATTTTTTTTAGATTCACCACTATTTTACCCTCATTAATATCACACATAAAGAAGGTTCACTAGTTTTGGATAGTAAATAAAATCGCTATATCTGTGTTATAGACATTGAGACCCCTGGTTCCCATGACCACCACTGTAAAGAAATCTGAGCCTGTAAGTTTTTCCACAATGAATGATTTCATGTCAACCCGCTCTGAATGACTTTTTGATAAATCTGTGGAGCTTCCTTTTAAAGAACTGATCCAGGAAAGGAATATACAGGTTTAGACGCTGGAATTAGAAGGGTGAAATAACGTTAGCTAGCCAATTTAGACATGTTGACCATTATGTCTTAGGAGAATACTCTGAATCTAGGGTATGGGATGAAATATGAAATAACTATTGACCATTTTTCATAGTAGCCTTCAGGATTATCGAAGTATGCATTTCTTGCTTCAATAACGTTGACGATTTTGATGGAACTGTATATGATGTTTGAAAACAACTGTCTTTGTATGTGAGGAGGCAAGTCAACATTTAGTGTTTTGTGTTTAAGTGCTATTTTTTATTGTGGCAGTTGTACAGGACTGTTTAATATGAAGAAGTCTGCAGTTGTCCAATTTATTTTGGCACTGCTGTCTTTGTGAGAACGTGAATTTTCACAGCGACGGTCCCCCTCCCCTTTCACCCATCATTGCTCGCTAGCAGCTCAACACAGGGTCACAACATTTCACACACAGAGAAACAACAGGGTACTAGTTAATCTGATAACAGAGTTAAAGGGAAAATTAGTTTTTATCATATGAAGTAAAAATGTTAAAGTTGTTCATGTCTGTCGAATGGCCACTAGGGGGCCTGCAAAAAAAGACTACTTTACTACTAATGCACCAGCGCAATATTCTTAAACAATTATACTCTTATTAAGAATTTACGCAAAGACATGGTGAAGAACAGAACACATAGAACCTTACAATTTGCCTGCCACTACTTTATTGCTCCGTGCACGTTTAAATGGTGGAGGAACACAGTAAGCTAGTAGAGCTAGAATGCTAGCTATCGTGCTAACAGGGAAATAGCCATTTTATGCTAATTTTGTTGGTGAATATGTTAAAAACCACTTATTTATTAATGTTTGCGGTTGAACAAGACCCTTTTGAACGTATAACTGGATGTAGTTCTATGCTTTGTGAAAACCATAGACTTTTTGAAGCACAAAAAGCCTCATAAAAACTCTTTCTTACCGGTTTCTTACATTTCATGAGGAAAAGATTCTTATGGAAGTGAGATGACTTTTTTGAGTTTATGAGTTTCCTCATAAAATGTAAGAAACTGGTAAGAAAAGGTTTTTATGAGGAAAAAAACAGAAACATGAAGCTGAAATAGTTGCCCCGAACAAGGCTATTAACTTCTATGTCAAAACATTTTAGCAGCATTAGCACTGTTAGCACTCAGACTGTGGGACCCTCATATCCCACAAACTGATTAACTGTGAATCAGACAGCCGTCCAATAGTCCAAAATCCATGAACACAGAACAGATATGGACCTCTTCAGTTTTCCACGGTCTTCTACAGCTCCTTATACTTATATATCTAAGATAACAAGTAGCTGAGGTGAGAAAAAGTATGTAAAGAATGAAGGTGGAAAGGCAAACATGCGGAATCATGACAGCAGTAAAAGGGTACGCCAGCCGGTACTGAGTAGCAACAAGGAAATATTTCATTAAATCAGCAACTGGGCCATGAATATGAATGTTTCCTGTTTGTGGAACACCCCTATTTGGGTGACCTGTTTCCTGATGGTTGCAAATCGGATAATACAGTTATGCGATAATACAGTTATGGAATGTTTCATAACTATTGGTATCTAATGGTAACCAGTAAGGAATTCCCATTAGAAAGCAAAACCATCAGGTTTTAATCCTGATAGTTCTAATTTCAGCAGTTGTATTTTACAACCCGTTTCCAAAAAAGTTGGGACGCTGTGCAAAATGTAAATAAAAACAGAAAGCAAAAATGTGCAAATAATTTAAAACCCAAAGTTTCTTGAAAATAGTACAAAGACAACATTTTAAATTTTGAAACTGAGAAATTTTATTGTTTTTTGAAAAATATATGCCCATTTTGAATTTGATACCAGCAACTCATTCCAAAAAAGTTGGGACAGGGGTATGTTTACTATTGTGTTACATCACCTCTTCTTGTTGTCATATTTTTCATTTCATGAAGTGCCATATGTTTAGCACTGAGACTCTTTTACTACAGAGCCATGCTGCTGTAATACATGCAAAATGTGGTTTGGTATTGTCTTACTGAAATAATCAATTCCTTTCCCAAAAAAGACGTCATCTGGACGGCAGCATATGTTGCTCCAAAACCTGTATATTCTATTCAGTATTAATGTTGCCTTCATAGATGTGCAAGTCACCCATGTCATGTAAACTAATGCACACCCATACCATCACAGATGCTGGCTTTTGACCTGTGTGCTGATAACAAGCATATGGTTCCTCTCCTCTTTAGCCTGGCAGACACAGCATCCATGAGCTCCAAAAAGAATTTCAAATTTTAATTTGTCAGACCACAGGATACTTTTCCACTTCCCCTCAGTCCATTTTAAAAGAGCTCAGGCCCAGAGAAGGTGGCAGCATTTCTGGATCTTGTTTATATTTGGTTTCTTCTTTGCATTTTAGAGCTTTAACTTGCACTTGTGGATGCAGCGACAAACTGTTTTCACAGACAGTGTTTTCAGAAGTGTTTCTGAACCCATGCAGTGATTTCCTGTACAGAATCAGGTCTGTTTTTAATGAGGTACTACCTGAGGGCCTGAAGATCATGGCCAGCCAATATTGTTTTTTGGCCTTTTCCCTTGCATACAGAGATTTATACGCTGAATCTTTAGATCTGTAGATTATGAAATCCCCAAGTTCTTTGATATTTGACATTGAGATGCTCGTTTTATACCCAATCATGTTACTGACCTGTTGTCAACCAACCTAATTAGTTCTAAGATGTCCCACCAGGTGTTTTTATCCCAGTATCACACAAATTTCCCAGTCTTTTGTTGCCTCCCTTGTGTTGCTGGCATCAAATTCAAAATGGGCATATATTTTTCAAAAAACAATTAATTTTTTCATTTTCAACATTTGATATGTTGTCTTTGTATTATTTTCAATTAAATATAGGCTTTTTTATATGATTTTTGCATCACTTGTACAGGTGGAAAGACAGGTAGCTGAGGTGAGAAAAAATATGCGAAGAATGACTGTCAAAGGTGAAAAGAAAAAAGCAGGCAGAATCACGATGACAGCAAAAAAGGACACGTCAGCAGATTAACATCTGCCTGTCCTAGAACATTCTCTTCCCATTCACAATGTTCTAAAATGTTCTCCACCTTCATTTTTACTGCTCCAGAATATTCCTCCATGGTCAAAGTGTTCTAAAATCTCCCCTTAATATATAAGATATTCTCCACTTCTTCACACGGTTCTGGAATGTTCTCCACATTGACACTGATCTATAATGTTCTCCACATTCACACATTCTCACAAAGATGTTCTGCCATATGAACACTCTTATAGGATTCACACTGTACTAGCATGTTCTTCCTCATTCATGCTGTTCTATAATGTTCTCCCCATTCACACTGATCTAGAATGTACTCCTCATTCACACTGTTCTAGACTGTTCTCCCCGTTCACACTGATCTAGAATGTACTCCTCATTCACTGTTCTAAGATGTTCTCCCCTATTAACACCTTTATAGGATTTACACTGTACTAGCATGTTCTTCCTCATTCACACTGTTCTAGACTGTTCTCCTGATACTGTACTACTTCATAATTTGGACTGTTCTAGACTATTCTCCCCATTCACACTGTTCTAAGATGTTCTCCACTATTAACACCTTTATATAATTCACACTGATCTAGAATGTATTCCTCATTCACACTGTTCTAGAATGCTCTCCCCATTCACATTGATCTAGAATGTTCTCATCATCCACACTGTCCTAGGCCATTTTCCTCATTCACACTGTTCTAAGACGTTCTCCCCAGCTTGGTTTATATCATTTTGGAATAATTATAAAACGACTGCCAGCATTACAGTGTTGGTATTTGTTGGGTCGCTGTGGTCTGGCCTTGACCTGATCCCTCAACAAAGGTACTATTCTAAGGCAGAACCCTAAGACAGTACTCTAGTCTCGCAGGGCCAGACATGGTCTCACAAGAGGAAGAAGACATCAGAGGTCAAATCATGCAGACTACAATCAATAACACAAGAAAAAACTAGCTAGTGATTTAATGTGTTCTCGACACATCCGACACACAACCTCATACTTCACTGTTTTTGACAAGTGCATCATCGCCCCCCTCCCCTACTGTGAGCTCCACTTTCACCAGGTGTTGGATTGGGTTAGAAAATTCCAGCCTATATTAGTCTATGTTCCCACCGATATTTAGCCCAGAGTTACTCATGGTTGTTCCCAGGT